CTTAGAACTTAATTCCCGCTCGTGCACAGATGACAATCCATCTAGGCTCCAGCGAGCCCACATTTTTTAAACTGAAAAAAAACAGACGAAAAGAATGTGAAATAAAATCTATAACAATATCAGCTTGAAGAATATAATTTGCTCTTTCTGCACAAATTGACTCCATTTACGAACAATATAGAAAGCACGGCACAGTTCAGCAAAGTTGGAGGCGTGGCCTGATTCAGAATTTGTTCTATACACAAGAAGGCCACCATGCCCTCTCACTTACTAGTCGCTAAGAATACAGATATTGAGTCATACTGGTACGATTCTTTATTCGATTATGCGTGACTCCAGTAACAAATGATTGCATTTTTGCCGACAGTAATTGCAAGTGCATCTGTTTACCCAGAAAGTGCCTTTACCTCTGTTAACGTTGAAGTCGTATAACAAATGAAAATATCAAGAATGTACCCATTGTGCAATAAGTCTCGCTTGCTCACGGCTAACATGAGAAAATTGACTAAAAATGTTGTTTTTTTAAATAGCAATTTTTGTATATAAGTATTTCGCAGTTTTCTCAACATACATAACTGTATGGGACACAGCGTATTTTTGTTTAATGTTACCATGGAAATGTTGCTACATGATTGTACATAATAAACCAATATCTAATATTGTCATCATATGATCTCTGTGTACATTTCTACATGTTTCCACAAATGCCGCGTTTAGTAAATATTAACAATTTATAAAATATTCTACTGATTTGTCATTATAAACGTAATTGCAGAAATTATAAAAAATCGAAAGTATTCTGGCATATACTAAAAATAATGCAATTTTTTGACTTTATGTGCAGTATGACAGTTGAATGAAAAATTAGATTTTCTATCTCCAAGGTAACGATGTCAAGGTTCATTCTGTGATATTGTTATGTTTTGTGCAACTAAGTGACCGTGGAATGTGGTAAATCTATTGCCGCCTATAGCAAAGCCGTCATTCATTCCAATATCAAGATATACTGTGTCGTCGATATTCAGTAGTAACAGAAGACTCTGGCTCTGGACCAGATCGCCATATGTGGAGTATATACCAGTTTCCATATTCTGGTTTCTTAGCATCCGCACAAATGCACGTTGTTCTGGTGCAACATATACCGAAAAACCGAACTGGTACACACCGCTAACGCGACACGTGAACACCCCCGTGGTGATGTTCATTTCGCCTGTATTAAGATATGTGTGATCATAGGTGACTACGACAAAACTGGACGAGTTGGCTTGTTGACTGTGTTCACTGGATACCGAGAAAGCAGAAAAACCCAAGCCTGGAAAATACAAAAAAATATGTTATAGCAAATCAGTATATGCAACCAGGGCAAGGCGATTAATAAATAGTTGAGACGTGACAATTGATTCTGTGATGAGAGGCAACATTTTTCAAAAACATCATTAAATTAAACGATCGACTGCAAAAAAAGGACGTGAACGACCTTTATTACACCTATCTGGATTGTTCATCGCTGCATCGTCGAATTAAAAAAACTGCGACTAAAGTTGTATTCCAACTTTGTATGATCTGTCATGAATTTGTTTTCGCGTATCTGTTAACCGACTTAATTAGTTGATTATTAGCGAATTGCTGTGTTATGTCTGTCATCGTTCAGGTCTATTTGAAGTTTTGGACGGAACTTGGCTCAGTGATTTGGAACTAATTACGAGATATCCGTCGCGATTCTGACAGTTGGTATTCCATAGTTATTAATGTAGTGAACGATTAATCAAAAGATATGACGTATTCAGTGCTTAGTGTGATTGGCTTTATGATTGAAGGTTACGCCCAGAGTCTTTTTACTGTTTGTAATTGGTTAGAGTTGTGAAAATGAATAAAGAGAGTTTGAGTTGGTCTTAAAGAGTACTCTACGATAGACGCAGTCTGAGAGTAGAGCGAGGGCAGTCCTGGAGAGTCGAGTCCAGTCTGAGAGAGAGTCCAGGGGCGAGCCTTGACGCAGTCCAGTCTTGGGCGAGTCTTGGTTCAGCCTTGTGAGAGTCTTGGGGACTTTTCCCCAGGGCGCTGTGTCTTATAGAGTGCTCGATTGACCGACTAAGACGAGAGCTGAAACGTATCTCGTTGTGTGTGTCTTATTTGACTGTAAAGTTAAAGTGACTTTCCCGATCCCGTACCTCAAGGGGACGAGATATAGAGACAGAGACAGAGACGAGATTCCCCCCTGACAGTGTGGAGACCCCGAGAGAAAGAAGATTTAACCCCTGATAGATCTATAGAAAACCTCTCCCTGATCCGTGTCAGAAACATAAGGGCTTTGGATTTTCAATGTTTCGTGAGAAATATTTTTAAACCGAATCCTAAAATCGAATTAAGAACAAAATTGTTCGCAACAATGAAAAGTATGTTTCATTTGGTGACTAGACACACAACGTTTGCTTCAGTGATCCTATATTTTAGCATTTGTTTCCAAACCAATTAATTTTATCATTTTTCACTGTTATCACATAAGTTCTGCATATAATACAAATTAGGAATGCAGCTTGCAGAAATCGGGATACTTCGTACTTTGTGCATAAATATGAAGTGCTTCAAACAATCCTTAACATAACAGTGGTTTACAGATCTGCAATTCGTGTGTGGCTTTCTAACAATAAAAAAAAATATTCCAAATGCAGTGAGATCGTGTAATTATTGAGACTTGAAAGTCCTTAAGTCCTCGGGGATTGTATAAGATATAGAACCCTATGGCTTGATAGTTTTTAATTCAAGTAAATATTCAGCCAAATCTAATAAGAAGAAACGACTGAAGACTCGTTGTGTCGTCACCGGAAGCGCTGTCCCAGCACAAACCTGTGTCATATGACGCCTTACTAGCCGATTTTGGCT